GGTGGATAAAGACGAAGTGTTTCATTGATGACTGCTTCACATACTAGTAAATCTTGTAAATGTTCATTCGTAAGTTCTATACCATTTGGTAAAACTCGATCAACTTCTTCACGACATGCTTGTAAAACATTTTCATTTGTCATTAAAACATATAACATCCATACCATTAGATTTCCAGTTGTCTCACTACCAGCAAATACAAAAGCAAGAGATTGTTCTTTAATTTCTTGATCATTGAATGATTTTCCTTCATCATCAACAGCTGAAAGTAATAAATCAAGAAGATCAGGACCATTTGACAAACTCGATGATTGTCCTTGTCGACGATCAGTAATGATTTGATCAACGAATTCGGCGACCTTGCGGTTTCCTTCATCGAGAATCTTTTTACCCCAAAAAGGTAATCGTGAAAGAAAAGATATTTGATTTATCATATACATCGATCGATATTCCGTGATATCAAGTAACTGAGCAAATGTTCGAGAGATTACATCTTTTGCATGAGTATTTGTTTCAAAATCTGTACCAAATGCACTTGATGCAATAATAGATAATGTCAATGCATTGAATAAAACTTGTAAATCAGTAGATTTCGATTTTTGTTCATTCGATATGATTGATTCAATAGCTTTGGCAGTACGATCAGTAATAATTGAAACCATAGACTTAAGGTTAACATGATAAAATGCTGGATTAATCATTCGACGAGCTCGTTCATGTTCACTACCATCAGCTACCAATAAATTATGAGAACCAAGTAATGATGCCAACACTGCACGAATATCTCGAGGTTTCATGTAGTTAGCTGCATTATTTCTGCTAAATACATCAGCAAGTAAATCAGGTTCATTCAGCATAAGACGTGTAAAAGGACCGAAACCAAACAGAAACACATATCCATGCTTTTTCACTAATTCTTCTAGATAAATCATCAATGCATCATTGTTGCGTTGTTTTATCATTTCAGGAAGTTGACCAACTAGAGGTGTGAATGGTTCTCCACGAATACCTTGTGTATGGAATGCATTATACATTTGTTTTTCTCGATAGATGAATTTTAGATAGACAATAATGATTGTGATCACAATAGAAAATACTAATATACATAGTAGAATGAATAATGTCATAATTGTACTATGAAAGTGTAGGAAGAAGAAAACTAATAGTACTCTATTAGTAGTCAATAAGAGCAAGACACCAATCATAGATGATGTCGTGATGATATGAGTTATTCTATTCTTTCTTATTGATGGGGGATGGATGAGAGAGGGCAATGATAAAAAAAAACAACTATTTGCATGGCGTTGACAATAGCGTTACTTCGTTCGTATATTACAAGGTATGTAAAGAGAAGTTCCATGGAACACATAGCAAAATATATAATAATAATCTCTATCAATACTGTACGTAATCAACCCGAAAGATAAAACATACTGAAATACTCCTAAATAATGTATGATCAAAGCTCTTCAACCAGCGGACTTTTTACACAGCATGTATGGCATTCCCAGTGATGTACGTTGAAGTATGCAGGAGAATTAGAGCCTGTCATTGAGAGTGCTACCTATTCCGTAGGAGTACCTTCCTAACATATAAACAATAGTGTAGTAGTGATTTTTTTATTGTGTTTGTTAGCTCATAGACAACTTTCATTTTGTCTATATTACTGACAAACTCAATTACATGTGCACTTGTTTTTTGCATTGGACAAGGTTACAAGTATATCAGACACTGCTACTGTATATTGGCAGAAAATGTCTTTCTGACTACTTGTTCAATGTACTTTCCTTTTGAAGAATTTTATCAAAGTCAATGCAACACGAAAAACATAAATAGCTACAAAAAGTGCCTTGACAGAATAGAAGACACTATATTCTTTTCATGTCCAGAGTTCTACGAAAGTTATTTACAGAAACGCTTGATCTTTTCACACATAAATTATTCATTTATTTTTATAACCTTCTTTTCTGAAAATATCAATCTCTAATACTGAAACAAAGAGTTCAAGAATAATAGCCATATTAAGTTTTAGCAATCAACATGTCGGTCTTTTTCTAGAAGAATATAAGTTTATATTTCACGTCTACTAATATTAGCCCATAATCCATATTTTGGTCGCATGGTTATTTTAATCTCAGGTACAATCTTTTGTCCTGGTACTAAGTCGAAATTACATCGTTGTATAAACATAGCTAACATGATTTTAGCTTCTAATAATGCAAAGTTTTGTCCAATACAATTACGTGGTCCAGCAGCGAAAGGGAGATAAGCATATGGATGAGGTAATTTTGGTTTGAGACCAGTTTTAGGATCACGCATCCATCGAGTATAGTCAAATTCAAGTGCTCGAGGCCACATATCACTTCGACGATGAAAAGCATAACTATTGACAACGATAATCGCACCTTGTGGTATATGTAATTGACGTTCAGTACCTATCGTGTGTTCACGTACACATTGACGTGAGAAGAATGATGCTGGTGGATAAAGACGAAGTGTTTCATTGATGACTGCTTCACATACTAGTAAATCTTGTAAATGTTCATTCGTAAGTTCTATACCATTTGGTAAAACTCGATCAACTTCTTCACGACATGCTTGTAAAACATTTTCATTTGTCATTAAAACATATAACATCCATACCAT